AAAAAATTATTTTAGAAAATAATAAGTATATAAACTCATATATAATATGTTATATTTATTATTTAAAATTATCAATTTACGTTTTTTTTTCTTAGACTTTTGAGCCAATTTAAATCAAACTAACACACATCAAATACTTCAATTTTGAATTAAAGAAATTTTAAGCTTCATTTGAGACGGCTTTCTTACTGTTTTTTAAAATAAGTTTTTTAACAAAAAAAATTTGAGCTAGAAGTTTTTGTACTAAAAAATTATTTTAGAAAATAATAAGAAAGATGTCCCAAATGAAATTTATTGATAGTCAAAGCTCCCGGCCAATAGATTTAAGTGAGTGAGCCGCACTTTAATCACATTATGTTGATAATAATTTTTCTTACCAAATTTTTAGATATTGATTGTAATTAGTTTGAAGCGGTCATTTATCAGTACTACTCCTAGTCAGGGGTGAAAATGAGTAGAGTCAGGTCGAGTTTTGGTACTATCGAGCTCAGCTCGTTAGTCGGAAAGAGATCTCAAGCTTAAAAGGAGAGCCCGAACTCGAGCTCGTCCTACTATAAACGAGCTCGAGCCAGCTCGTGAGCTTTGGCACGCTTGGTTCATTTTCCAAAAAAGCTGTATCATTTATTACAAAATCCAATTTTCAAAAAAAGCTGCAGCATTTTTCCAAAATTTCCCGCCCGAACTCTCTTGTACCGCCCAATTCCTTTGTAAATCCAGTTCTCTAATTATTTTTTAATGTTTCTATATAAAAGCTACAGCATTTATTATAAAATATTTATTAAAAGTAATATTATTTTGTTTAATTACTAGTTTTTTTTAATATTACTATGTTTAATTATAATTTTTTAATATTAATAATGATTCGAAGCAGGGCTCGCGAGCATAGAGTTTGGTCTCATCAAGCTCAAACAAAGCTCGGGCTCGATAAGCTCAGCTCATGAAGCTCGTTAATGAGTCGAGCTCAACGACATCGAGCACTCGGCTCACTTAACCTCCTCTCCAGGCAATGCTAAATTATATTAAAGATAAAATTCAAGCTTTTAATGGTTAAATAATTGGAGGTTTTAATATGAATGAAATTCAGTGTTGATCCGAGTAAATTCTTCCTTGAATTTTTTTATTCATTTGTAATATCTTAGCTCTACGAAGCTTAAGATTTATATGAATTTGTTTTATTTGATTATTTTTAATCATTGTAGTAGAGATTAAATGGTTAATTTTTATTAGATTATTGCCTTGTGTCCCAATTGAAAAATTTAGACATTTATGGGGCGGCTTTCTTTACTTTTTTTAAAATAACTTTTTTCGTACACAAAATTTTCTCAAGGTAAAAAATTTTGTACTAAAAATTTTAGAAAATCATAAGAAAGTTGTTCCAGAGAACTTTTAGGTTTTGTTTGAAAACAGCTTTCTTGATGCTTTTTAAAAATTTTGTGCAAAAAACTTGTATGAATTAAAAAAATTTTGTACTAAAAAATCATTTTTGAAAACAATAAAGAAGTGTTCAAACGAAACTTAGGCTTCTTTTTGGACGACTTATTTTTTTTATTGCATTTTAAAATAGAATTTTAGTTCAAAAATTAAAATTTTGTACTAAAATTATGTTTTAAGAAGCAAGTAGAAAATCGTGTCCCAACGAAATCTTTACTTGTGCTCAGTGTAATTTTAAGGTTTGCGTCAAGGTGAATTCTCTCAATAGAACTCTGAGCGTTCTATGTTCTTGGGTTAAGATGACTAAATATTATGCACTTTATTGAGATGTAAAGGAGTGTGCTCTTATAGTTGCAATAATGAACAAGTGTAATTCCTATTTATGTGGGAATTAAATATATATATTCAGGCCCAATTACTTGAAAACTTTCTGCTAATTTGCTTGATAGCTTATATTTACTTTAATTATAAATTTTACTTTTATTTATTCTTGAATATTAACTTAGTGATTAGTGCAATGCCTAGATACTACGTTCAAAGTTGGGCCTTCTAGTAGTTGCAAACACATTCAATACACACAATTTACAAGCTTAATCACTCATAATACATCCCCCAAAAAGTTTTTTTTTTTTATTATTTGAGATACTACGAAACATCAACAAAAGTTTACGATCAGATTAGCAGTTTGCAATGATGGAGCTCATTTAGAAGTTGTTTGAGAAGTAGCCGGAAAGCCTCCGTTGAAGGGCCGAATTATTACGTCCGGTCACATGACCGGACGTCCGGACACTCAATCCAGACGCATCACGTCACCCGAATACATTGATGATGATCCCAATGTATTTTTGATGACGTGGCGAGTCTAGATTGGTGTCCGGACGAATCCGGACACCAGATGTAATAATTTTCCCCGTTGAAGAGGTTAATAGTTGGTCTCTATTGATCTAGAAGTCGGTTAGTAGAAGACAACTTGACATAGCTAAAGACTTTGAGTGATTGCCAAAATGAAAGCTTACAACATCTTAAAAGAAGAGAGAGAGCTAAAATGTTAAGCTTGTAGAGAAGACTAAAGATGATAGAGAAGATTGAAAATTTCATTTCATTATCTCCTATGTTATACAAGTTGTTATACAAGGTTGTGAAAACTACACCGGAAGAAAGAGATGTTCAAATTTGACTTGGTCGAATCGGATGATGTAATAAATAATAATATTATTAAAAATTAATAACATTAATAGAATAATTACGAGATTTAACCTCAAACCATATAATTCTAAGAATTTAAACTATATACTTTTAATAGATTATCGCTCATATAATTAAATAATTAAAAAATGATGAATATATTATAATATAATTATAATTTATAAAATATATAGTTTAATTATATTATATTTATGAATATCAATAATTAATTATAATTAATTTTTTACATTTAATTATAATTATAATAAATGAGATTCTTATAATATACATTATAACAAATTAAAATTTAATAAAATATATATAATTATAATATTAAATTTATAAATGTGTAATAAGAATAATATTTAATATAATATATAAATTTATATTACTAATTATATAATATACATTATAATAAATTTATAATATAAATTAAAAATTTTTGCACCCAACCAGTCCAAATTCGTGACTCAACCAGCCCAAATTTGTAGTCCAACCAACCCAAATTAATGGTCCAATAAAGCTCAAACTCACATTCAAGCTCATATAACATTCATGTAACTTTTTAAGTCCCACATCATGAAAAATATGAGATTGTTTTTTTTTTTTAACTCTATATATAATTTTCTCTTTTCTAACAAAATTTATTTTATAAGATGACATTTATATATTATGGTATTAAAAATCTCATTATTTAATAAAAAATTATTTTAAAAATATAATAAAATAAATATATTGTTTAATTTTATTTAAAATTTAAAATTGTTCGGTTCTTTCGAAGCTGGACCGGTTCGTCGGTTCACCTATGAACTGCGCGGTTCAGGTCAGTTCTCTGCGAAGCCATTTTTAAACTGGACTAGATCGACAACTGGCCAGTTACAGTGTAACCGGTTGAACTGGCTGTCCAGTCAGATTTTTAAAACCTTGGGATATTATATATATATATATATATATATATATATATATATATATATAATATAATATATATATATATATATATATATAGTATATATATATATATATATATATATATTATACTATAAAACAATAAATTTCTAGAATGGTCTTGGAAGGTTGTTGGTTGTCGATTTCGTGGTTGTTGGCTGGCCTACGTGTTGCTCTTTTGGTGACTGGCTATTGTTGTTTTTTGTTGTATTTGTCTGTTCGCTAGCATTTCTTGTCTTATTTTTCTTTTGAAGTTTCTTCTTTGTGTTTTTCTTGCAGGAGGTTTATATTCGATCGCGGGGCTTTTATATATGGTGCATGCCTATTGTTTCTTTGTCGTAATAAAAAGTGGTGTTGGGAGAGGAAATGCGTATATCCAGTTCTGAGAGTAATCTCTTATCCGATATTAATGTGCTACCAAGAAAGATGCATTGTCCTATAACAAACTTGCAATCAGTGGATAAAATTTTCAAACTCATATCATATTTAAGTTAATCGTGTAATTCTTCATTTGAAAATTTATTTTAAAGAGTAGATTGCGTACACTCATTTCTATAAAATCAAACTGCCAAAGTATAAGATATGCATAATCTCTAATTTCAAACTCTACACCCCAAAATGAACATCGAGCAGAGCTTGAGTTATCTTGCGCTTGAGCTTGATTAATTAATTGAGTTCAAGCTCGAGCTCTATTCTACGAATTTGAGCCGGCTCATTTAGTATGAAAGAAAGAAAATAATTATAATTAAAATAATAAAATGATAAAAAATAAGAAATTATAAGAAAAATAATAAAAAAGTATTTAATAGAAATAAATTAATATAATTTTGAAATATTTTGATTAGTTTTGTATTTAAAATCCTAAATGCAGATATATTTTAAGTACATTGTGTATTAATATTTCTTAAACAAGCTAACTGTGAAATAACTAGTCAAGTCAGAGCTGTCTGAAATTTTACTTATTAGCTCATCGAGTTCAGCTCATGAGTCATTTATCGAGTCGAATCAGAGCCCAAGAGTTGACTTTGACTCACTTACACCGTTAGGGATTCCACGTCAGGCTAGTCTGCCCCGCACATGCCTAGTTTCTTTCCGACCAGATCGAGATCCAACCATGATCGAAATTCCAAATATACCCTTTAATCTCACCGCACCATCGATTCCCCCATTGTTCGAGATCGGACGGCCAAGCATGTTCACGAAGCGAACCCTGCTGGATCACGGCTACATTAGACGCTACAAGTTCAAGGCTACAGTATCCACTACAACAAGCGCGGTCCAGCTCTTCACACCGAAACCGAATCAAAGCCACATAAAGAGTGGCGTGTGTTAACAATAGCCACGTGGAGTCAGTTAAATGGAGGGTAAGTTTTAGGGTGAAAACGATGCCGTGCAATAATTTGAAATTACCCGCCTGTTTCAACCCCTTTCCCGCCTATTGCTTATACGCTCCTCTTACTTAAAAACCCTAGAAACTTCCCTTCCGTCCTCCGGTTTTTCGCTAGATCTCTATACCGCTCACTATCTTAGTAGACCTAATGAATCGGAGGCTGAGGAGCCCGGCAAGGATGGCGGTGGCGGCGATGTCGGAGGAGAGGCTGCAGAGATTCCTGAGACCGGGAGCGCTTGCGCGGTTGCGGGATTCGAAGATCAGCGCGAGATCGCCGAGATCTGCGCTGAAAACAGCACCGCTTGCCGTTTGCCGGTTTTCTCCGCCGGCCTCTCCCGTAGCGACTGCGCCTCTGCCGCCTGAAGATGGCGGGGATGGCGAGTTAATCCGTTTTTTTGCGTCGAGGCCGTGCGGGCCACGTCAGCTGAAACGGAAGAAGCTTGCCGCGGCCAAGTACGTTTTCTTTTCGCCCCCAAGCCCGGATCCCTCTGATTCTGTCTTGGATGTGTTTAGCGTCGATCTTGTCATAGCTCACTGAGCAGAATTTATACTATAAAGTGAAACAAAAATTCTATGTAAATTGTTGTACTATCCTCAAAATTTCTTGTTTCCCTTCACATTTTCCTCACATTGAGGCTTTGTTATCAATTGTGTAGGCGATTGATTTCAGACACCTTTGTTTCGGATTGCTGGGGTTTTTTTAATAAGTGAAAGGATTGAGGATTAATAATTTTGTTTCCATACCCTGATTCTTATGGAGTTATGGGTGTTCCCTTTCAAGATTGCCTTTTTCTGGCTTGTTAATGTAGAATTTGGTGAGTTGCTTTTTTTGCGTTACATTTATCATGTTCTGAAACGGTATGAAGAAGGGCCTTTTAATCAGCGATTACTGTTTTGCTGTGAAGTGTTCCTACTGGAATATTGGCATATTGCTAGTTTGCTTCCGTTATACTCTTCCTAGTTCTCTTTAGTTATCATAATTTTTTTGTGCATTGAATCGTCTATATATTAATTTTAGAATTTTTGCACAAAAAATCCTATTGTTTTTTTTTCCTGCTATCTACTTCAAAAACCGATGGTATCCAATGTCTTGGAATCATATGGCTCAAAACAAATATATAGTTCAAATTAAAAATATCTTGATCGGACATGAATCTCGAGGTTGAATACTCGGAAACTTCCAAAATTAAATTTTGGATCATCTAAACTCTGATTTCAACAAACTTACAATCAATCAAAACCCTACATGAGATCTTGGTTGGGTACTCAATGGGCATGCTCTGTGTGAGTGGGCTTTGTCGACCCATGGTGACTTTCGGGATGTCGTACCTATCGAAACAATCTACTTTTCCACTCTTTTTGAATGCAGTCTGCTACGAGCTGATGGTTGTGAGGCTTCTTGCCATTTGCTTTTCCAGCAAACTTTCAAGCCGCATATTAGAATTTATCGTGGGTGCAGAGCGATTTCGTGTTGCACATTACATCTTGAGGATTACAGTAATATATTGTATATGCTTATTAGCAATGTAAATTGAGTTATTCCCCGATTTCGAGTACCAACTCACAAGATCATGAGATTATTAATACCCACCCATGTCCATTGGGTATGGGTGGGTATGTGGGTGGGTGTGGGTACCCGATGCAGGGCATTGCAGTCAAACTTAACATCTCGAAAATACAAACCCAACGACATCAAATTTGACTCAATCCGAGCTCAAATGGCTCTAAATCAAGGACCTGAAGTGTTATTGGAAGGTTTGAAACACGATTTGGTTTATCAAACAATTTTCAAATGTGATTTGCTTATAGTTGAATCAAGCGGCTCGACGAAATGAGTCCAACAAGCTCAAGATCACTGATATCATTAAGACATCCAAATGTTCAACAAACGGTTCATGATCAAGGGAATCAATATCATCCTGGAATCAATATCAGCCGTTCATACAAACCATGCATTCAAAAAATATTCTTGATCTTCCTCCTATTTATGAGCTATGTCACTTTATAAAATCTATAAACATAGCCTCCCTTTTTTCATGAAAAAGGGACCCCAAGCTAAAGAAATCAAGAGAGATTGGAGATCGTTCATGCCCCCTTGCTCCTCGACCACTACTCGAGGTTTTGCAGAACCACTGCCTAACATCGGAGTTTCATCGAACCATCGCCTTGCGTTGGAGTTTTGTCGAACCACCGCCTGACGCAAGAGTTCTGTAGAATCACCGCTTGACGTCGAAGTTTCGTCGGATTATCACTTGACATTCAGAGTTCCGTCAAACCATTGTCAGATGCTAAAGTTTTGGGGGACCACCACATGACGTCCGAAATTTTGCCGGACCACCACATGAGGCTCGGAGTTTTGCTGGACCACCACTTAACATCTAAGTTATGTTAAACCACTAACTGTCACCGGACTTCCGTCAGACCAGCGCATGATGCCGAACTTCAACCGGACCATCACCTGACGCCAGACTTCCACTAAATCACCGATTGATATCGGGATTTTCGTCGGACCACCAACTGACGGCCGGACTTTCATTCTCGTTTGTTATTAGAATAAATCATACGGTTGATTTGTAATCTGATCGCCCCCAAGGATGATTCAGTCCGTAACAAAAGTAAATTAATTTTTTAATATTTATAACTCTAATTAATTAAATATAAAAGTATATGCATGTATATAAAAATATTTATATATTTAACATTTAAAGTTTTATATTTATTTCTATAATATCTTAACACTAAAATCAATTAAAATTGTATTTTAGTTTGGATAAGTTAATAAAAATAATATTTTTAATACGTAACACAATTTGTTCTGTTGATTTAGAGCTTTGGTTAATAACCAATAGGTTTTAGATTCAAGTGGTGGTATGTGATGCGTTTAAAACCCAAATGTTCCAAAAATATGTTGTTGATGTGATTCCAAAAATATATTTTTGATGTGATTTAAAAATTAATAATTAAAATTAATGAATATAAAAATTTAGATTAGATGATAAAACTTATTCCTTCTGCTTCTTAGGCTTAATCGAATTTCTATTATCTGATTTATATAATGAATTATTTTAGTTGGCCTAAAATTTTGATGCCTTATATATTTTTATTGTCTCACACTAATATTCTAGCATGGGACAATCTTTGCTTGTGAAAATCAAGCATACAAGCAAATGAATTATAATCATCCCCCGTGCACTTAGCTCTATAGGTGAACCATCATCACATTTATTCGTTGCATCCCCCTCTTATGTTCTGCAAATTGCTTGGATAAACTCATCAGATTGATTGAGTAAAAAAACACCCACATTTCCTAGGCGAATTATTATGTCCGGTCACCGGATGTCCGGACACCCAATCCAGACGCACCATGTCATTCGAATACACTGGATCCCAGGATATTTTGATGACATGGCGCGTTTTGATTGATGTCCGGACGAATCCGGACACCGGACGTAATAATTTGCCCATTTCCTACCGCATGAAGTGGCCAAAAATTGCCTTATTTGTTGAAACTGAGATGATTTGTGGAGCCATTGTTTTGGACCTGGAAATATATAATATATTGTGAGATGGACAACTCTAGCTATACTGTTATTCTGTAGTTTTTAATATTTTTAGAAGAATTTGAAATTGTATTTTTTTTTTTGTTTAATTTAAGAGATTTTAAATGGAGAGTTTAGTAATAAATGTGTACATGACTGAAATCTTGATGGTGAACAAATTTCTCTTTTGTAGCTGGAAGAAATAATAGGAAGAATCTATCTTAAAGTCTTTTAATTTGCTTAATCCATATTATTTTGTGTTCAATGCATTCATTTCATTCAGCATTTGTTAATATGCCACAACCACTCCACTAAGGTTTTGTTTGCCATGGCTTTGCTACTGTTGCTTTACATAGTTTTTTAGTACAAAAATTAAAAAATTTATGCTAATAAGTTGCTTTAAGCTACAGTAAAAAAATTATTCTAAACGAAGCGTAAGATAAAATAAAAATAATAAAGCCATAAAGGGCACTTCGTTATTGCTAAAATTCGTGCTGATCATAAAATTTCAAACTTGCAAATTCATGTTTGAAGAGATAACTCATCTCCAAAATTAATCTAAATTTTTTAAAAATTCTCTAAATTAAATTTTGACTTGAATTTCCTAATTAAAAATTTATCATTTCAATATTACTACTGGAAGGATCTTATGAAGTTTTGGGGTATTATATTTAAGTGTTTAAGTGAACCGAGTCAGCTTGAGCTCGACTCATTAACAAACTTGTTAGCTTATCTTATTGAACCGCAAGCTTGAGCTCAAACTCGAACTCATTTATTAAAAATAAACGAGCTTGAGCTAGAGCTTGATAAGAATTGGCTAGTGAGCTGGACCTAATCACTATTAATATTTTAAATAATTACTTTTTCCGTATTTTAAAATACTTTGAGATGAAGTTTTTATTTAAAAGCATTAAATACGTGCAACATTTAAGGCATTAAAACATATAAAATATTTTCAGGCTGCAGTTTTCATTTCAAGGCATTATACAGCTGCAGTTTTCATTTCAAAGCTGCAGCTTCCGCCTGGAACATCAATTCTCGCCTTTGCAGTTTTCGTTCTTATTCAGCCATGTGTACATCTTTCTTGTCTTGGAATGAGCAGTGGGGCAGAAGACACGGTTGCGGAACGAACAGACGATGCGGAACATGTACATGACGCAGACCTATGTTAAGGCTTGCGAGCCGGCTCGAGCTTGTTCATAATGGAACGAGTTCGACTTCGCGTTCGAGTTTGAGCTGGCGTTCTGACTGATGAGCCAAACTTCATAACATCATTACTCGACTCGTTTACACCCCTAATTATATCTAACGAGTCCACAATGCACACTTGAAGGAAAAATGAACTGATATTTACCATTACCTAATAGGCAAATATTACTTGGAAATATTTCATCTCACATTCTATCTTTCATCTACATCTACAATGTAATCTGAACACTGAACTCTTTTGATTCTAACGAAGTACGTAACATAACGAAACCAAGATGTGCATTCTCAGGACCTTGAATTGTGCAATTGTTGCAGCTCATAAATTCAATGACTCCCTTCCCACCTCACAAATTGTCAGAACTGGTTAACTTTCAGAGAATGCAAAATACATAATAGTATAATATTTTGAACTTCTCCCTGAACTGCATAAGCATGTACTCAATGCTTGATAAACAGGCATTAGAACAACCTAATGATACAAAAATGTAACGAGGTTCTATCAAACGATCAATTTTCTCTATAAAACAATCGGAATTCACAAAGCCAGTTGTTTGGTTTCAGGGTGCAGCATTTTCTTTGCAGGGTTGTAAACGCTGAACTCGCCAAAATCCCGCCTTCCACTGCGATAATGTAGTTCGTTAGCTCAAGGAAATCATGACGAATAGATAGAACAAAATAGCCCTAATGAAAGTTTAATGTTTAGCAAAATAAGCTAAGCTAATCTGTGCTGTAATGCTGAATTGAAAAACTAAGAGAAATAAATTGAACTTATAATGGGGCTCATCTGTACACAGGGGCGGACCCCAACCTTAATTTAGCGACTAATTTATAAGTAAATGTTAGTGTTGCCTCAAATTTGGCTTGACCCTTTGCTACAACAAAATGAGTCAATAGTGACAAAAAATAGAGAAAAAGGAAATAGTCGCTAAATATGATTAATCATTCAATTTCTACAAAATGTATGTTGAAGTTGCCTTGAATTTGGCTCGACCCCAATTTGTCCATATCCTTAATTGTCGTATGCTTTGCAGATATGTCGGGGGTCCAAGGGGGCAGCTCCCCCTAGAACAAATTTTGGTTATAAGGATATTTTTGGAATTCAAATTAATAAATAAAATGATGAATTCTCTTTATATTTGGTTCATCATTTCCTAACAGTTACACCTCCGAGTTTAAGGAGGATCCGCCCATGTCTGTACATACTAGAGGTGTATTTTTAAGAAAGAATGAAAAGTAAAAATATATTTTGTTTATAAAAAATGAAAAAGAAATCATTCGTATAGTCGAACAAAGTAAACAATTACAGCCACAACAGAACATCACCCTAAGGCATACCTAGAAAAATTATAGACACTAAAACTTGTGTATACTAAACATGTTGAGAAATTCTCTGCTATAAAAATAAACTTTTTCGTTCAAATCAACATCAGATTAGACAAAGGATAGGCAAATCTTTATTTTTCCCCCTTAATTATAATTTATAATAATATCGCCTACCATAGGAATAACAACACAAGTATTTTTATTATCTTAGTGCCATGAATCTTGTCGACTCTGCTTATATTAGGAGCATTTCTAGTTTTCTCGACTTGCTTGAGCACAGATGAAACATATTGAAAGCACGATGCACCTTATTTGATTGGCCTTCACAAGCAATCGACGCACTCAAGCATGCTATAAGTGATTAAAGAACAAAAAAGATCCATCCACAAAAAAAAAAAAAAAAGTCATATGGCCCAAAATGTGGAGGAACAGTAGAATATCTTCGTTAAAAATTACATTAATATTAAAGAATAAATTATTTCATGCTAGAAAGATCCACAATAGAAGCAACTTTTAAATTAAGACAAATGATGAAATACCACACAATTTTATTTGGTGTGCATTAAGGAAAAATATGCATGTCAAAGGCATATTGAAATCATTAAGAAATATGTACGATTTCTTGACTAATTAATAGTTGTTGAATGATCTAAGTATTTTTAATTATGACAGAATTACATCAAAGATAACCATTAAGTTCATATATTTTTGTATTAATATTGAAACTGCTTACAAAAAACATTAAAGTGAGGTGCCTATGGTGCATACATTTTGTAGACAATATAATTCTAATTAGTGAGTCATATATTAAAATAAGAGTAAAATTAAAATAACGAAAAAAAAAAAATATTTAGAATATAAAGAGCTAAAAAATAGTAGAACAAAGACTGCATAAATGATGCAAATTTAACGTACGTGATATTAACCATTACCATTCAATATCACAAAAAAATAAAAAACACTTTCCATAGATTTAAGTATCATGGATCTATTATCCAAAACAATATAATAAAAATTCTGAAGTTAAAATGAGTGATTAAAAGAGAAAAAATTATCAAGAGTATTATTTAATAAGAGAATGTATAAAGATATAAAAAATTTATAAAAGTACAATTACGATGACTATTTTGCATGGATTTGAATAATAGGTGGTTAAAAGTTATCAATAATAACATCGAAAACGAAAAAAATGAGAATATTAAGATGGATGTGTGGAGAAACTATGAAAGACAAACTAAGAAATGATTATATTAACGATATGGAAGATTTGATATTTATTGAAGATAAGGTACCCAAAATATACTTATGTGGCTAAATTTGTACAACAAATGATAAAAATGCACACCTTTAGACAGTGGAAGAAATTAATGCCAAATGATTGGGAAGCAAAAAAGCAAATTCCAAAAATAATATGAATAGAAGTTATTTAAAAAAGATTTGACTATCATAAGTTTAACACCTCAAGTAACACTCATCACGAACGGATACAAAAAAAGGGATACATAAAACAAACCCCAAACACTTGGGATTAGGCTGATGATGTCGCTAATGATGATGATTTTAACGTAAATACTATCATAACTAGCTGAACCCATTAAAGTCTGAACAAACTTATAAACTAATCTGGTTCTAGAGTTTCAGCGCTAGCTTCAGTACCGCAAAATCTCAGATCATGAACTGATGCAATTGTTATATGACAACTTAATTGACCTATCTGATTGAGATGTCTTTTGCACCGAGCAAGACAAATTTATTTGCATGCTGGATTATAATTATGCAATGACAGTGAGAGTAATCTAACGAATATCATGACGACTTCTGATTAAAATTTTAGAATGATTTTATCAAGGATAACCATTTTTCTCTGATGAAAGATGCAGATTGTATCATTTATATTTCAGCAATAAGAAATACAAAAGATTATGCCTTTCATTTAAAAAGCCTAAGGAAAAATTGAGCGCAAAATATATGTGCCCTCTAAACCAAACCACTCAACAATCCCAAGAACAAGAAGGGGAAACAAAGGAGCTAAAATGTGAGCAAAATGCAAGACAGGAGCACAAATATTATCGTATTCAAAGAGACAAAAGAGAAAGATTTGTAGTTCATTATTTTTTACCTGTGCATTATATCCCAACCAGGAGGAAGAAAACGAGGATTAACTCCTTCCACAAAGACCTGCCTCCACTTTTGACAAAATTGACTGATACCATCTTCACCATGATCTCTGAGTAATCTCTCCACAACTTCTTTTCCATGATGTCCATGACCTAGCAATGATAGTCTATTGGCACGTCTAGATGAATAACCTTGATCCAACATGTAACTTTGATAAGATTCATCCGTTTGTTGTACTGGAATGCCATTTCCATTGCTCTCATTGGAAACACAAACATCTCTTTCATCAATCCGTGTGGCACTTTCAGTAGAATTTTGTTCATCATCTAATGAGATCCCTTGGATGAAACAATTGGATATGTTTCTTGGCTCAAGATTGCATTCCATGATACATTCATCTTCTAATTTTTCGTCCTCTTCATCCTCGTCTTGTAGAGATGAGTTATTTCCTTGAGAACCACACGCTTTATTACGCCTAAAAGACAACCCTCTTTTCTTCTCGAGACGTTTTCTTTCATGAGGACTCATACCAACAAGTAAAGCTGTTTCTAGATCTTCTGGAAGTACTTCCCTTCCCCCAAAGTATGTCTTAACTATCTGTTAAATAAATGTTAACAAAAAATATATGTAAGTAAAAATATTATAATCTGCAGCTAATCCAGGGGATAAGAAAGCAATATTTATTAGTTTGAGACTTGAAACATGATCAGTAACTGCTATTGAAGGATACAGAAAGCACTGCTGAATACTGTCATCTTAATAGGCCAACCATTTTAAAACTTCTTATTCCTTCAATTTATTTTGATGAAGAAAGTAATTACAAAGTTTACATAGAATCAAGTATTCAACCGGATAAGTCTAACAGTTGAGAATAGACTCAAACAAACCCTAAAGACCTTTTGATACCATGTCATACTACAATCTTTACAACTATGAAATAACTAAAGTAGGAAAAATACTTCCCCTCCGTTACTGAACTACATAATAGATAAAATGTAAATGGTTAAATATGGTGGAATTCAACACTAAACGGGAAGATAAATGATGAGGACATCGAAGATCAACGGCTACGATCGTGTCTATTTATTTTCATGTATTTTATTTGTTATTTGTACTTTTCCATTTATATCCTCACTTGAGGGCTTTGTTTTATGTTTGCCCTAGGGGCAATTGTGTCTTTTTATTTTCCCTCATGTATTTGGCTATTTAAGCCCTCCCCTTCCTCTTGGAAAGGATAATGATTGATAATGAAAAGTTTTATGTTCTTGTTGATCTATTAGTGAGTTCACGTGATCTCTTAGTGAGTTCACGAGAGGAGAAGCCCGAGGAGGGTGATTTGCAATACTCGTCAATCTTTGGAAGAGTCCGAGGTTCGCGGTTCTTACGATCTCTGTGTGAGTTCATTAGTTATCTCTACCTTTCTCGTATATTCTTGTTCATCTCCTTTCTCCCCTTTTCAAGCAACATTCTTCTTCTCCACCACAATCTCCCGCAAGCAACGACCAATAGTTGAAAGGAGCCAAACCTCTCACTAACGTCGCCATCATTGGAGCCCCTACCCGCCGCCCACCCTAGTTCCGCCGGCCTCTTCCCTCTCCACCACTTCCCCATATCCCCATTCCCTAGTTCTCATTGGAATTTGAATTTCAAAATTCAAATTCTTTCCAAATCTGGAAATTCCAATTATGGAAATTTTTTTGAATGAATTCAAATTATAAATTAAATTAATTTGGATTTATTTAAAATTTTCCTAATCATCATTCATGTTTGGAAACCTCTCTCCCTCTCTCTCTAACTCCCTCTCTCTCTCTCCATACCGCCGGCCCCCTCATTAGGCTCCCCATTGATTGCCATCAATGCACCTCCTCCAAATTTTGAAATCTGAAATTGATTTCAATTAAACCCCCTCCCATCCCAATTAAAACTGAAATCTATTTCAGTTTTCCTACAAAAATCTCTCACCCTTCTCTCTCCACTTTGCCACCTAAGCAACAATTAAACCCCTCATAAATCCCTTAATGACCGCCGGCCCCATTTACTCCCTTAATTGTGTTAATTTGAAATTCAAATTAACAATTCCCCTTAATGAAAATCTAAAATTAAAATACAGATTTTCCCTCTCATCTCTTTTCCCCCTCACCCAATTAACTCCTTAATTAAATCCAATTAATTCCTATTGGGTTTGAATTGATCCCATCGGTCTACAGCAGCTGTCCAAGCTTTCCTAAGCAATTGTAGGTGGCTGGCCAGAATTTTTTAAGTACCAAAGTTGCTATCTAGCAATCTTGGCAATCTCCTATTGCTGTCCCGCAGTCTCTAAATTCCAGATTGCTGTCCAGCTGCATCCAGAAAGCTCGTGGTGGCTGTCTACTTCCTCTCAAATAACCAAATGATCACCGGAGCTTTGTAATTCCTATTTCTTTGGTCATCCTTGCATCATTGAAGCAGTAACGGCAGGAATGTACCAACCATGGTGGATTTCAATGGTCTTCTTCCTCCTTGCAAGGCGTGACTTCCTGTGTGCTCCAGTGTTCTTATGCAAAGTGCCTGATTTTACTGCTTTGTCAATTGCTGCCTAAGCCTCCTTTGACGGGAAAAACTGCTGTCCCATTGCTTTAAGTTGCTGTCAAACTGCTGTTAGAAGTATTTTAAAGGCCAAAAAGGGGTTTTCAATCATCAATTGCTGCAGCCTACACATCTCCAGTTGCTGTCCAATCATTTTGGTGGCCATCTTTTGCTGTCATGCTGACCAAGGAGTCAATGATCACCTTCCTAAATGTGTCCAAGCCATGACAATGCTAGTTGCTCTTCATCCAGTGCCTTGGTGATCAAACAGGGAGCTTCGCAATCTCTCGTCTTTGGGTAAACTCTTTCCCCGACTCTTTTATCTTCAAAGTGCTTCTCAATTGTGGTCTAGTAAATTCATGACAATCATGTTAATGCTTCTCCGCTAAAAGCCTAGTAATAAGAAGAGTTGGGTAAGGGATCTTTCATAGACTAATCTTATTGTTAGTATTGTAATCTATTGTTGGAACTATCCATGTATGCAATGTTGGATTAAGCTGGCTATCTTTTGAACTTAACTTCTATGCATGTGAGTTAACCTAAACTAGGCACCACTCTAATGTTTATCTTATCGTTCAATTCCGCATAAGATCTTGCTTATTATTGCCTCTAAATCTAAACGTGCAAACTTCTTTAAGCAAATCACTTTCGCATGGATTGTATCACATCAATAAAACTTTAGTAGGTTGTTTATCAAATCAAATTTTAAAATTAAAATTTATTCTCAGTTGATTTGAAAAAAAAGTACTCTTTGCGATTAATTGTGTAAACAACGCATTCAGATGCAATAATTGCAGCGGCAAAAAAATAATAATTGTAGTGTCTCTGTGCAATGCTCTTAATCGCAAGCAACTGCTCCCACAAATAAGGTGCTGATAATCATGTGTACAAATACCAGCATACGCAAAGCCAACAAAAATGAGCGGGCGCGGGCTTTCTTTCTCCCAACCCATCCCCTCTTTCTGATTTGGGATTCCTTCTAGAACTTAATCTAAGAAGAATTCGTAGCATGCCGGACAATGACTTGTTTTTAGTAGAGTATCAACATCATCAAGACATATTTGCTACTGTATCTAACTCCATTCAACTCAAGCTTAACTCCTGCATTTACTTGGACCACCCTTTTCCACCCATGCAAAATAACATTATCGATAAACAGACATGGAGATATTTGTACTGATCCATGAAGCTCTCAATAATATTTGTAAAAGTAGCATTGTACAAATTAGCATGTATCAATTGAGTGGACTTAATTGCAAAAAGTGAAATTTAGAATTTCCAAATAAGGAGGGGCAGCAAGAAGAGACGAGAGAGAAAATTAGTTAGAGAAATCAAGGAAACTAATCTAATCCCTCTACAAAATTAGTCACCTTACTATATAGGTTGATAATCTTTTAATAAGGAAATCTAAGAGTGAGTTAGCTATTTTTAAGAGGCAATTCTTTTCTTCTAATTTGTTTTGAATTTGAATACATGCTTCTAAATATTTCTTTGATCTCTATAAACAGAGATCAAGTTTGTAATTTGATATCGATCTTTTATTGAATGAAGATTGCTTCCTAGTCGCCTAAAACTTCACCTCATCCAGTACCTCTTAACCCTCTCTTTTACTTTTTGTTTTTCTATTCCAAATCAGAAGAGCTGCTGATGCCCCTCTTACTATTTGCTTACAATAGTAGCAAGCTGCCTGCAGCCCATTACATCCAATTGATGCCTCTGCAGTCGCTAGTCTTTAACATTCAGAAAGGGATGCCAGTACAATCGTTGCCCTTTCATCCTCGTGTATCCATAATAATGAAATTTCACGCTGTTTTAGTCATATAAAAGCCAAGGAAATTCTCATTATCCCTTCTATAAGAATCTAATTACCTCATTCTAGATACTTATAAAATTCATAACCCTTTCACAACCCAATCCTAGACCATATACTCCTTCGCCCTAGCCCCCATTGATATTTTGTTTTACATAAACCAAACCACAGGTTTGGCAGTTCAAATTCAAAATACAGGAAGAGAAATAAACCAGAAATGGGTGAAGAAACAGAGGTTTGCATTAATCAGCTTTAAAGCTTATATCTTTCTTCTAAAATTCAATCCCATTAAAAAAATATAATAAATTAGTTAGACTCTTTATTTTTCTCAAAATTTCCATCTCCATCTTTTTTTTTGGTAATCACTCTATTGAAAATTTCTGGAAAAAAAAACATAAAATTATGCTAATATTGCAAAAGAAGTAGAAGTGCTAATTCCAATCTCATAAGAAGCATTAAGGTTCACAATATAGGCACTACAATGTGATCATAATAAAATATACTTATATAGTAATAGCATGCATTATACAGCAATATGCATAGAAAATGATCCACAATTAATGATGCACCGACACACCTTTATAAGAGGGAATACAGTGTTGGACACATGTTGGACAAGAACACGCCATCGACATGGCAGAACCATGTCAGATTAATATAATATTTAAATTAAAACAAATACGCATGTTGAACATGCATGTCGAACAAGCATGTCATAATATTTGATAAAAATTTTATTTAAATATAAAATTTTTAAAATTCTGATATTCATTAAATCAAATAAAACAAGTAACTGATCCCGTATTTCACATGTTGGTCGCGCGCCCATATGCTCTAGGGTTTTCACTTTTCACGGCCAATCTTCCTCATCTTCTTCGTTTAGGCGAGCCAACCGAGCGAGCAACTATTCGATTGAAGCCCAATACATCCGATTGAAGCAGTTCCCTCATCCTCTTCGTCATTTGTTCGTCTTCATCTTCGTCCCACTTTATATGGAAGGCAATAAACAGATATGGGATATTCCTGGAGATAAGTTTGAGTCCCTTGATGATATGAGAATATTAGAGATTGCAAATCTTTCTCTTGATGAACTAGAGTTGAAAATAATGATATTCAATGTGATGATATTGAAAGCCAAAGACAAAGCCCTGAAGTTAATCATATTATTCCTTTTAATGAGTAGTAGAAGCTTGATGTTCTACTAAATAATTTTTTCTTATATTTTTGTGTTGTACCATATATTTTTATATTATAAGCTAGACAAATAATTATGATATTGATTTATTATTATTTGTCATTTCTAATATGATGCTATATTAATTTCTATATACTATTTAAAAATTGCAATGTTGTGTCCGCGCCATACTCGTGTTCTATATTTTCAATGATAGTCATGTCCCGTGTCTATGACGTGTCCGTGTCGCCGTGTTCGTGTCAGTGCATCATATGTCCATAATAAATAGTTAGGCAGCGTGCATTAATGATAATGACATCCCTGTCCCCATAATGGCTCATACATTTGTACCCGGAGATTAAAATGTCAATGATTGTAGGGACAACTGGCATTTACCTATATAAATGATGTCAATTCTTTAGTTTCTATATTGAAAGGAATAACAAATCTTAGATGTAAGTGCCAAAATGCATGAGCACCATTAGATACACTAGGTTAGTAAAACCTGATGAGACATTCGGATAAAAACATAAAATTTAGTAACACTTACCATATGATCGGAATTAGGTCTCGTCGCATGATAAATATGTGTTAAGTGTTAAGATCATAAAACCATATATCATAACAATAAAAATACAGCGAAAAACCTGGTATATGTGTATATGATAAATGGCTTCTACAGGATGAGTACTATTTATTGAACTCTATTTGCATTCTTGCTGACTATATTTTAATTACTAGGATTTTTTTTCTTTTTTTTTAATTATTACTAGGATATATGTGTATACTTGTACGTCCATTAAGATCAGAAAACCAGTTTTTCATATACTTTAAAGTTAATAGTTAAATGATGAATGATATTTTAATTCTAGTACCAAAGCTTAGACCTTCATGTAAAAAATAACATATAAATTTAGGATAGCATGAGTGAAAAGGTAAATGGCATTACATTTCTCCAATGTTTTCTATTACATTGATACTCTATGAGGAAATGTTTTTCCAATAAACATTTAACCACTCAAAAAAGAATAGAGTAGATCAAATATTTAATAATAAATTACTCTTTACTCAAAAAGACAATAAATCCTACAATAAAATATAAGTATTCTAAAATTGTAAATATAATGAATTTTCAAACCTGCATAAGCTCATCTTGCCTTTTTAATGGCATATGGGATCCATGGCGGAGAAGTGCCATGGCTGCAGTTCTCAGCTGCAAAGGGGTAACACCTTTCTCATCATCTCCTCCATCAGACCATTGTTTCACCATAATGGTGTTGCTTTCTCCTGAATCAGCAATCTTTTCCACAAAAAGTGGGATCTCAAATTCTTTTGCTATCTTCTTTTTGTGCTTCTCAGCAGCAGCATGAGCTTTTTCATGGCAGTCAACACAAAGAAGAACAATATCATGTGAACGATGGCTTTTCAAATGCTCCGGAAAATGCATTCGATAGCAAGATGGTATGATACGGTAGCGAAGGTAGTGATTTTTTTCGCCACATCCAACACATATGTTCTTCTTGCTCTGAATATAGAATTCATTACCCTCATCTTCTGGGCGGCCTTTAGGCTCAAAACAAAGCATTATTGCAGGAGGATCCTTTTCCACAATCTTTGCTAAATCACGTCTAAGGTACCTAAAACATTCAAATAATAATAATAAAAAAAAAACATAACTAAGTGCTTTGATAACTTCTGAGTAAAGATTGAGGGACTACAGACCAATCCAGCTTTCGGCGATCACAATAACAAAGGAGTCGTCCATCATTAGCATATATCCTGCAATTATGGTAAACTGGAGATTTGCAAGAGAACTTCTGAACAAAAAGCTCACGGGATGACTTTCTGCCAGCTGTTGCAGTGGATTTTCCTCCATTTTTCCAGGAGAAAGGTGTTGCACTTGGTTTCAAAGTGATCTCAGATAAAAGAGCATAGTTATAAATTGATAGACGGCAGCAGCCAGTCCTATCCAAGTGCTTCTGTTGATGTCTCTTAAGCACATCACTAATGTCTGCATCGTAATATTGAAGGAGCAACCTAAGTTCATCCACATGGTTTCTAATAATTGGTGATGGAGATGAAAGAGATGGATGGCTAGTTTGAGAACCATAACAGAAATCAGCTTCTTTTATAACTTCAAATATATTTTCCAAGCTCGTTGGAATATTTATAGATAATTTGACAATTGCATGATCTGACAAAACATAACGTAAACTTTCATCATGGATTCGTGCCTGAAGTTCAAGAGGACAAAAGTTTCATTGATGTTGATGAAACAAAATGGATAAACAACAACAAGATTGTTAGAAATTCAAGGTTTTAAGTAGGTTAGAAGAAATGAGCTTATCAAACAAATAGTGCCATACACATTGAGCATCTGGTGAAACAGGAAGGTGAAAATAAGAAAAACTGAAAAGATGGATACACAAAAATACATTCACATGATTTTCCCTTGAAGCATTGTTACAAAGCAATGATTTTATAGGCTAACGTTACGACAAACCTATAATTTTGTTAGTAAAACATTCTTTTATATGAAAAATGATAAAAATACCAAACCAAAATAACATGCTGTCAGATTCACTGAAACAATAATAATAATAAATTAGTTTCAGCAACATCATATGTTAATGAAGAAAGAGAACAATTCTATGTATACAGAAGAACCAACACTTATGCAACAAGTCAAACATGATACACTGGTAGAAATAAGAGAAAAATAATTCAATTTATTTCTAAATGTAGCATTTTCAATTTCTAAAGCATGGATCTTAGAATATAAACATTTTAGTCATGATGATGTAGAAGATAATGCACTTGACAATAAATCATTTAAGCTAGCATACTTATCTTCTAAATTCCTAATTATTTCGTTAAAATTTGATTACAAAATATGAAAAGTACTAGATGAATTTGAAAATATTCAATTCATTTGTCAATCTAGCTACATCCTTCTCCCAAGATAAAATGTTATCATGAGATCTTTTTATATCGATTAATGGTGAATCATTTTACATTGCTGAAGCACTAAGCAATTTCTTCAAAGATTGTTTCCTTTTTACTAGCAAAAAAAATTTTCCTTCAATTTTCAATGTCAATAATTAGTTCATCGAAAGCATTGGATAATTTTTCATAAGAACACTTAACATTAAGAGTTCTCAAAATGAGCTCATTTAAATGACTGAAATAAAGCAGACTGAGAGTTCCCTATATAGTTTATTGGAGAACGAATAAGTATATGTGAGTTTCGGAAATGCAAATCATGGTGAATGAAATAATAGTAATGATTGATGATCCAACTAATGAACACTAGGATGAGGATCTTAGGAAAAATGGAAGACTCACTATGTTAATACAACTATGATAATAAAATGATATGAAATAAAAGATAGCCTAACAAACAATGACACGAAGTATTTCATGTTTGTGATGAAAATGATGAATGACCTATATACATGATATCAAGCATTGTTGCATTATGCATAAACTTATAATCATGCATAAGATGCAATGGCATGCTTTATATGATATGATTATGAAGACATGAATCATATGATATTAAGTACATGACAAGCATGCATATTGTATCTCTTTTCATCTACTAAACTCTTTGATTGGTTTTGTGTAACCTATTGGGCCTATTGGGCTTCTTACACTCACCGTAGTTTCATCTATCTTTGTTAATGATTTTAGATAAAGGCAAGGAGGATGTGGAATAAAAATGATATAAATATGAATATTTTAAATAGATGAGTGATATTTACTCTTTGACGACAATAATAACATAATAACATATGATAATGATGTTATAACTTTATAACTACTGTAAATGAAAAAAATAATGGTTTCACTATATAAATGTTCTATTGGATTTTAGTGTGACTCTGAATATTAAAAAATGATCCTAGCTTTAAGGAAAGAGAATGTTTATGTTCAATATTTTCCTCACATTGTAGTGCAATGATTCGAGCTGGAGTGAGAAACAATAACTCATCTCTTGCTTCTCAATTCCATGACATGAATGCAATATTTTGGTTACTTCTCTCCGTTCTTCCACCATAAGTTCACATGGACTTTATGAAGGAGTTATTTCTTTTCATCTTACCAACAAAAAGTAACTTTTTTATGCATTATAAATCGCTTTGATCAAGGCATCCCTTATTGGCTTCACTCCACTAATAGTGTTTTCTCGATTATTTTTCTGCTCATTTCTAATGGGTGGCGTTCGTATTCAAGCTCACTCTAGATTTTGGAATTATATGCTTCTTGATTGAATTGAAAAGCATAGGATACCCTTTAAGTAGGTGGAAATTCCTAGAGGAAGAAGAAGAGGAAAAAGAGAACAAGATGAAGGGAGAAAACAAAATTTAATTTCCATAATCTTAATTACAGCAAGGAGGTTTATTTATAGGAATGTACAAGTGAATAGAAAGGGGCCAGCTGTCAAAAAATTAACAAACCAATTTACAAAAATAATACGGATGTTATGGGTTTAATTCCAATAAAAACCATGGGTTGGTTCAGTCTTTACATCGCTTTCTAAACCGGGTACACTATAAGCTTTGAATTATTATCTTGAGCTTGTTCTTCTGATTTGTGGATCCAATATTCTCCCTATTTTTATATTGTATTTGCATCCAAAGGAATGTATTGATGCTTTGTGATAAACCGGTTTGGGGGCCGGTTCAACCGAACCGGCCACCCGCCTCCTTTTAATAGCCGCGACCCCGAGCGGGGTTGGTTTCGCGAACAGAACAGGGAAACGAAGAGGGCGGACGACCTCGGGCCGGGTCGTGACATGCTTAACACTCCCATTGCCATAAAAACTAACCTTAACCTCAAGGTTAAGGGATGAAAAAGAAGAGGAGAGAGTACATGAAATTCTCCCAAGTGGTGTCATCGGGAGTAGAAAACGTCCATTGTACAAGCACCTGTTTAAGAGGTTGTCTATGTATGGTTATAATGCGGGGTAATGAGTATTCCATGAGGTAGGCAGTAGGCTTAGTGGTTGGTTGTTATGGCTAAGAAGAGGAAGAGGTGTAATGGTAGTGGGAGGTGTCACACCCCATTTAGACCCCTTACAGTCTTCATGGAGTATAATAGAGAAAGAAGAATCTGAATAAATATATTTCTTACTAAAACCCATTCTGAATTACTATAACTATTTAGTTTGAACAGTTTATCCACAATATTCATACTTAATTGGAAGCATATTCAATATATCACATAAAAGTTATAGAGCTTTAATAAACTTTTCAAATAAAACTTACATATCAAAAGTCTTACTGAATTGACTTTTATGTACACTAACATTTATGTACATGCAATGCAATCACTCTCCCGCTTAAAGACCTGCTAGCTCCTTACACTTCAAACCACATGCAAAATAGGCAAAAATCAGCGAATTAAGTGATACTCGCATCTGCAAGGTGTGTCACTTAAAGGGTTAAACGACCTCCGATTGCCAAATGGATTGCGCCGTTGCAATCAGGACATCGAGTTCGCCAAAGAGGGGACCCTTCTCAATAAAATCAAATGAGATCGGTCCAAAGTGAAGACCGACACCTAAAACTGACGCGCGATGTCTCACCCAAATGATGTCTGATATCAAAACGGATTTCACCGTTGCGTCCGGAACATCGTCGACATCCAAAATAACTGTAAACATGTTCAATTGGGGTTGTCCAAGGCGCCGACGACAAGAATCCCAAAGCAATGACACGCAAACCAAGGAAATTGACGTCCAACATTGCCCAAACAACATCAGATCTCAGAATGGACTTCGCCGTTGCGTTCAGAACGCTGCCAATACCAAAAAGTGATGACCAATTTGATCAATTAAATCCGCACAATAAGATCAGCATGCATCTCAAGACAACGCGCACAAACTGAGAAAATTGACACGCGACTTGACCTTGTCAAAACGACGTCCAATCGCAAAACAGACTTCGTTGTTACGTTCAAAAAGTCGTCAATACTCAAAATTGACTATAGATTTATCCAATGAAGCTCACGCGGCGAAATCGGAGCCATGTCGGGATGAAATGCGCGGATTTGAATCAATACGCCGACGCAGGATTTCGAAGTATAGAGATTCCAAATCCATCCAACTGTAATAATAATAATAATATAATTTTACAATTAGTATAATTATTAAATTTTGAAATAAAATTAACTCAAATCATAATTAATGCAAACCTCGAACATCAATATCTAAATCCCACAAGTCCCGCTGATGATGTTCTCTGAAATCTCGTCCGGTAAATCACTGGCTTTGGTCGAAACCTCCGCTCGTCGTTAAAACACAAGAGAGACTACAACCTTCGATTGATTACACGAAGCCACACTTCAACTCTCTGCCGATTTCCACACTTGTGAACAACCCTTCCCTATCCTTCCCTATCCGTCCGTCCCTCTTCCAATCTGACCAATGTCCATATCCAGCAATTGAGCAAGCAGCCGCAATCCCTTCGTCTCTGTCTCACGCCAACTCCCTCTATAACCTCCAACACCACTTCAGGCATGTCCGTCCACACCTACTAACTGATCAGCCTCTTCAACCTGGATCCGTCCATTTCAACCGCTTGGATATCTTCCCATTTTTCTCTTCTCACATCGATTTGATCGAAATTTGATCCGAGTATTTTCAGGAAAGCTTTCCCGTGGAGAATCCTGCCAGAGAGAGAGCGCAATAATCATAGTGGTGGCACCTTCGATATGTAATCATGAATACCTAGTATGATTCTCTGTTTAAGCTTTTGCTTACTGGAGACTCTGGTGTTGGCAAATCATGCATCCTTCTAAGATTTGCTGATGATTCATATTTTGAGAGTTATATTAGCACCATCGGAGTCGATTTTAAATACGCACGGTTGAGCAAGATGGAAAGACTATTAAGCTTCAGATTCATAACTTCCTGTACCTTACCTAGAGAAATCCACTTGGATTGCTTCGATAATATCTGGATTTGAAAGAATCAGAAAAAAAAAAGGTTGCAGCATTCAACAAAGAGAGAGAGATCCTTTTCAAGCAAAGAGATTCTGCTCTTCAAGAGGCACATCTATGGCGTTCTGAGCTTTGCAAAAGCTAGAGAACATGCTGTTCTCATGGAAGCAGTTGTGGTTAGAACTGATGAAAGGGCCAGGGTTTCACAGGCAGATGCAGAGGCTCGATTGAAAGATGCTGCTGAAAAAAGCATTGCTTGCTGCAAAAGAAAAAGAGGATCTTCTAGCATTTATGAATGCTTTGCAATCTCAAGTTCAAAGGTTTCTCAGGCAGATGTAGTGACCACCCTTTTCCTCATTTTACAAACGTTAGCGTGCTCTTATATGGTTATATTCACGCTCAGCAAGTTTCCAGAACTCTGCATGCTATTTCTAGTCTCATGAGTTAGAAAGATATAGGCAAGGTCTTTCTAAAATGTATTTGCATTAAAAAAAGAAGAAGAAGGGAAGAATGAAGTAAAATAAAGAACGAGGAAGCAAAAAACGAGGAAGCAAAAAAAAAAGGAAGAGAAAGGGAAATGAAAGAAAAAATGTGTGTATTCATGCATTTTTTTAAATCGTCGCTCGTTATCGCAAAGGTATAATCCCTCAATCCCTAAAACCCCAAAGTCCCATTTTCGGCGCTTGCAGCACAACAAGCAACCACCCATACACGTTTTTCTTAGTACAGTGAGAGGAAGCTCGCCGCGACGCTTGTGGCAAGGCGGGCGAGTCTTGTGCGCATTTTTCTTAGCACGACGGGATAAAATATAAGTACTTGTACGCGCCTCCGTGCTGTCGAGGAAATGACTGTATTTTCAAACAGGTAGCTTCGAAAACTCATAAACGCCTTTCTTGAGGTGGTGGGGATGAAGACTACGGCCACGGTGTCACCCGACACCGACCGTGCACGTCTTTCTTGATGTGGAGGGCAGGCTAAGACTCCTAGAAATTCCCCTAAACAAGGGGGATGCTGAGAGACTGTCGAAATTTGAACGATTAACAATAACCTGAAATTCAATCTGAATACGCACAAAGCTTAAATAATTACAGTCATCAAACAACAACAACAACAACATCAAGCCTTTATCCCACTACGTGGGGTCGGCTACATGAATCCTTTTTCTCCATTGTGTCCTATTAAAAGCCAAATTCTCGTTTAAATCTAATAAAGAAAGGTCATTCCTAAGCACTTATAATTACAGTCATCAAAATTATACTATTTTGTCTCATTTAATAAACTTTTACTTGTTCCGAAAAAAAAAAAAGATCAATTACTTCTCATCCTTTGTTTTGGTGCTCAACATCGAAAATATGGAAGTGTGAGAGCCTTTCTTTTCAAGCACATGATAGTTGTGCTGAAAATTATTTTGATTTGATTCATGGTGATATAGGGGGTATCACTGATATTATATCACAGGCATATTATAAATATTTTGTAACATTTATAGCAAGCAAACATTGATCTACTTTGTTCACAAAAGTATTGACCATCTTTTAAAGATTTATGGCTTATTTTAAGACTTAATTTTCATCCCGCATTAAAATCTGACTCTGGAGGTGAACATATATCAATTTCATGACCTTATTCAAAATAAGAAAACTTTTTCTCAAAATTTATGCTTTATACACCACAACAAAATGATGGTATTAATGTAAGAATTGCATCTTCTAGATGTTATCTTATTACTGGAATCTTCAGTTTCACCTAAACATTGGGTTGAAGCATTAGGCACGACATCCAAAATAACTCTTTTATTGACACTCCTTTTGAATTAAGCACAAAGTATTATCATAGGGAGGGAGATCTTCTTCTTAATCCCACTAGATTTAGACAATTGATAGGCAACTTAAACTACTTGACAATTACGATATTAGATATTTCCTTTGTAGTTAATAAGTCAATTGTACAAAATCTCCATCACTTAAATTTAATTGTTATTCGTTGAATTGTTCGATATCTTGTTAGGATACCTAGTGGTGGCTTAATCTTTCCATTTAGTTCTTCTATTCATTTTATGTGATATAATAATGTGAAATGGGAAAAGTGTCATATACTCGACACTCTATCACCAGTTGGAGTATGTTTCTTAGTGATTCTTTAATCTCATGAAAAAACAAAAAGCAGCCCCACGTGTCTAGATCATCTACTAAGTTTAAATACTACCCGATGTTTGCAGCATATTCCAAGATTATCCGACTTCATGAATTTCTATCTAAACTTAGCTTTCCTCAGAACAATTCCATTCCTCTATATGCGGATAATATCAGCGCCATCAAAATTGTTGCCAACTCAATTTATCATGAACGAATAATATATATTGGAGTTGACTATCACTCAATTCGATAAGCTTTGAACACATTATTTCTCTTCCTCATATCTCAATAAACCTTCAGACTGGAGACATTTCCCAAAGCAATGATGCGTGAAAGATACCAGTTTCTTGGGAGCAAATTGATACTTCTTAAAAAACTAACATCAATTTGAGGGGAGATCATTGTGACTACAATGAAGAAGGCATTTATTACCGTATAAATAATAGCATGCAAATTATGGTTAGGAATATATATATAATTAGTGGGATAAATTTGATTGAGCAAATCACTTAATCACAGTATTGAATGTAAGTTATTCTTTTATATACAATGAGTAAAACCTTCAAGACGAGAGCAAGTAATTTATACACAACGCTGCTTATCAGTTACTACCGTTCAATATCCACTCCCTCCCACTAGGGATCCACTTCTTTGTCCCCTATTCTTGTTTTGCTACCAAGCAAATTACCGTTTTTCCGTTTTTCCTATTTGGAATGAAATTTATGTATATGTCCAATTCCTGTATATGCACCATTGCACCTTTAAATTTTGTTGGCATTTCAATTAATGCACCATAGGAAGAATATGGTAGCTGTAGCCTTCTAATTATGGATCTGTAGCAGGTGAGGAAACTTGCACTTTTTATACAAGCAGAATTGGAGAGTTGTTTTTCTATTGTTTGGATAAAATTTTACATTATTTGATCATATATTGGAGGATTCTAGGAAGTTCTGTTTTTTTATCTTTTTTATTACAAATAAAAAGGCCGTAGGTATATTAAATTCATTCCATTATTTAATAAAATTCTAATTTTCTCTCGATACTTATGCGTACTACAAAATGTGAATTCTTCCCTCTTTTTGCAAGTCATGATGACAACTTCCGAGGGATGTTTCTCTTTGTATCAAAATGATGCCTAGATCTTCAAATTGGTTTTCTTTTGTCCTTTATATAAATTATTATGTGATTGATCTGTGTGCCTTATTGAGATCCTGTCAGGTTCCATGAGTACTAGTTCCATATTGAGGTGCTAATCTTACTTGTTGAGAAATTTTATATTTGGTCTCAAGTTTCTTGTAGAATTCAGAATATGAAATTTTTTATATGATCTTTTGAATGAATGAAATGTGTTTTTTCTCATACAAAAAATAGACTAATTTTATTCAAAATTAAAGCTAGAAACTATAAATTTTGCTCTTTTTGTGTTTCTTAACCCTCTTAGATTTGCATTAGTGAACCTTGTGAACATTCATGAATTCAACTTATGGTTAGAAAAGACTGCAGCACAACCTTACAGTCCATGACTATTATTTTAAAATTGGTTACTATACCCCACAAAAATGGCTTAGCACAAAACATCTTTACAATATTTGAAGTTAAATCGAACGCCCATCAAATCTGTAAATGTAAGGCCTTTAAAAATAATAACTTAATAGCTCCACGTGAAAACAAAATTTCGCATTACAACAAAAATAACAATGTATCTCATATTTAAATAGGAAGAGACGTGAAAAAAAAAAAAAAAAAATACAAATAGATTCAACAAGAAAGGGCATAACCATGCTTTCATTTGGAGAACTGAACCTTAACATGGGAAATAAACTTATAGATGAACTAACTCACCGCTAAATCTCTCCATGCACAGAGTTTCCAAACAAGGTCCTGAAATGAAATTAAAAAGAAAATTAAACACAAACAAGCTCATGAAAAGATGTATTAAAGTGCTCGTATCTTAAAACATTGGAGGTGTTTAAGAGGACCTTCGTTTGAGTAGTCTTCCATGTAGACACTCCTTCCTTGCTCCAGTTACGTGAAAGAATAGAAGCTGCAGCAGAAGCTCCAGGAGATAATTCAATCTCTTTTACATAAAGTTGCAGGCACACCATGTTTGACCGCCGACTGGCCTCCAAGAAAAAATTGAATTTGTCATCGGGACAAGCTGATGTATCTGATTAGATAGTGATATTTATCAAATAATCTGTAAATATCAAAAAGATTTTCCATTGCAATGGTTGTTTATACCAAAAAAGTATCATTTTTACCAGCTTACATAAATGTCTCCTAAACAGTTAGAATCCTTTTGCTTTTAATCACATCGTCCACATGAAAAAGCTTTAGACCCGAAAATTCAGGAACTACTTTCATTTCAAGGTCTGATCAAAGGATACTTGCTCAAGATAACAGATAAAAAAACAATATCATGATCAAGTGGATAAGCTCTCCACAGATAATCAGTAGTCAAATCATGATCGGACTTAAAAACTTAGTAAAATACTGATTGGTTCATTAGAAAAAAAAAATTGGTTACATTAGGTGTCACAACCCGGCCCGAAACTCGAATTAACGAGGCGGAAACAGATGGTCGGACTATTAATTTATTTCTTTTAAATACATAAACAGTTAACAACCAACATCTTACATAAAACTGAAGAGCTACTAACAAAATTACAAATTTGAACATATACATAAATAAGATTTGACCTATTTTTATTTGATCGACTTCTTCTGTACACATAATCCTCTCTTTCATGAATTCTATTTTTCAGAAGATTTACATAAAATTTAATTTGATAGTTTGAGTTTACATAGTAAACTCAGTAGATAATCATAACTTGCAATATAGCAGTTAATCATACATAAAACAATCATATTAATTTGACTGTCTTTTATAGTTAACATATAACATATATATCCTTATTACATATTTATTAAATAATGTATAACTTTTTTCATTTAGTACATTCATTTTTTATTTCTAATTATTCCTATTTTCTTTTATTTAACATAGGAGCACCAACTAAAATTTTGTACCAATGAAAGTACAACTATTATCATTTTCTTATTCTTTTTCATTTAACCATACATGAGTACGTTGCATCCCCAACCAATATCATAAGGGGGTGAAATCCTGTATTTACATGCATACACATTACATTTTCCTTCTATTGATACTTTGATTTATATATTATAATTTATTTAATCCTTTTCTCTTTTTTTTTCGTGTATATTTTTCTATATATATATATATATATATATATATTAATATCACATTACCACTTTAGTTTATTATTTCTCAATTTGATACATGACAAGGATATAAATAATATTCATATACCTACTTAATATAATGTCCAATAATTTCAATTAAACAAAAGAAAAGTGAAATTTCATAAAACAACATAATCCCTCACTTTTCTTTTCCTTAATTTGATTCATCTTGCAAAATGAACATAAATATATGCTATAATATTCATTAATTGCAATAACATGAAAAGGAAATATAAGTACTATAAAACAATCATAATTACCCACTTCAACTACATATGTTTTCAGATTCATCCAAATCGTCAATTCTATGAAATACTTCTAATACTCATCTCAGCTCAACTATGAAAATCTTTCACTGTTCCAATAACATTCATTTGCATTAATTAAATAGCTTTATAAGTTCAAGACAACATTGAATTTATTTGAATGACATCCTTAAGGGCAACTTCAAATGCATCAAACATTCATTTTTCATTTTCCAATTATTCATTTTCCCTTTTATTTAGCACAAGAGCATCGTCTAAAATTTTTTTATCAATGAATGTACAACCATTTCCTTTTCCATTCAACATGCACAAATGCATTGCATCCCCAGCAAATACCATAAATGAGTGAACTCCTATTTTTGCATACATGCGACTCTTCTTTCTTTTAATACTTTCATTTATCTATTATAATTTATTTAATTCTTTTCATTTTTTCATGCATATTATCCTATATATATATATATATATATATATATATATATATGTGTGTGTGTGTGTTTCTTTTATATATTTCTATATACACATAATTATATTAATATCACATTATGATGTGAAACGTATTAGCATGGATGATTAAATTAAGGAAGTTTGCATGCTTATATTTAGAGCACAATAATTAATAAGCTTTCTCTGATGATAAACGACAAAATAAAAATGATAAGGTGATAAAATAGCGTTAGTATAAACACATGCGAGAGGTTGAGATCATTAAATAGTCAAACTAAATCTTACTTGCATACATGAGTGGTTTCAACGAGAAATTCCAAACTAACAATAGATTTAGGCTATGAAAGATCTCTCACACACTCTTCTAATTACTAGGCTTTAGCGGTGAAGAGCTTAACATGAACCTTGTGAGTTAAAATATAACCACAATTGAAAATAAACTAGGAAAATAGGAAACTGGGGAAGAGTTCACCATCGTCAAAATTCTTAGATGAATTTGAGTAGCAAGGGAGAAGATCCGGAGTCCAGTGGCTGAATTTAAGAAGTCCTGCGTGTGGGCAGCAGTGTGGGATCTTCTGAGCAACCAATGAGAGCCTTCCGGATGGCGAATCAACACCAGAAAACTGCTGGAATCCTGAAAAAGCAGCCGTGGCTTTTCCGGACAGCAAACGGGGGTTCCAGGGGTGCAGGACAGCAGTTTGCCTCGTCGAAAATATTCAGGACAGCAGCCATGAACTCTCTGGACAGCAAAACAGAAGTGTTCGGCTAGCAGGACAGCAAGTGTAGTCTTCCTAAAGTGCAAGCCAATGAAGAAAACGTAAGCCTGAAAGGCCGGCCAAGGTGGGAGGGGTGGATTGGGAGAGGGATGTTAGGCTGAGAATTTGAATTTTGAAATTCAAATTTCAAAATTTGAAACACATGCGAGAGGTTGAGAATTTGAATTTTGAAATTCAAATTTCAAATTTGAAACTTGCGGAAGGAGGGATTGGACGGGTGGGGAAGGTCGCCGGCAAGTGGCAAGGCCGGGGCCGTGGGAGTGGCCGCGGCGAGCTTCCAAAGGGGCGGCGGCAACATGGGTTTTGGAAGAGATTTTCTTCATGGTGGAGGGAAGAAGATGGAGGAAAACACGAACACGAAGAAGAAAATATAACCAGCGAGCCCGGAACCTCAACGACGGCATATGCTTTTGCCCTCACTCCTGGGCTTCTCCATAGAACTCCACACAAGAGATCTAGGAGAAAAGAAACCACTGAGAGATCTTCACAAAGGACTCACAAAGAGAACACAAGAGCAAATTTTTCATTCAAAATTCATCATCACCTCAATACAAGAAAGCTAGCCTAATAAATAGGGCCTCTGAAAAGAAAAATAACAAAGACTAAAATGCCTTCGGGCTACAACACTACATGACCCAATAGGGTAAAAGGGAAAACAACAATTATAAAATAAACTAGTCAAAAACAATATAAATAAATAACTAAAAAAAATCGTAGTCGTTAATCTCCATGCCTGCTCATTCTCCCCGGTAGAGCAAATATTCGACTCCGTCGAGTGGGTGTCTCAAACTCTCGTGTAATCTGAATTCGATCAGCTATAATCCTTGCGGCTCTGATCAATTGTATCCTTGACTTTGGTTTAACTCTTCACCTAGTCAATATGTTCTTTCGTCCACCCTCTTTTGTGGAAATAATATTCATCACTAGGAATTCATGTCAACCTCTCCGCTATAGGAATTTTCGGGAATAATTTTGGAAGTGGAGGTTAGCTTTGGGTCTCACAAGGTGGGTCCACACAAGGCTTAATTTGAAGTGGATTTGGGGTTTTATCTCCGACTTTCAAAAAGTCTACTAATTCTTTTTATGTTAGAAAATGATGGAAGTTGAACTCTGCAACAGGATCCATCACACAGCGTTGTTATAGATTTTATTGACTATTCTAAATTTCCCGCGTACTTCAGCATGTGGATTTCCGGACGAATCCGCTCATTACCAGTTACAAACCTTAAATAGATTTAAAATTGTCGTTTAGAATCAGCATGAAAGTTTATACTTATTATTGCTCTCTTTAGGTAAAGGCGTGCAATTTTCCTCTAAGAAAGTCATGCAGATGTAATGTAAATGCGCATGTGAATATGCGAATTCATGGTCTAAATTCAAGAACTCAACAAGATGGAACTTGCGGTGGTGCAAGAGAACTTGATTGCAAGAGAATGAAATATTGGATTCACGCAATAACTTTAAACAAAGAAAAATTTTGGAAGACAACAGACTACAAACGACATAAGCAACAACAAACTAACTCGCATGAATAAACATACTAAAAAAGGTGGACAGTCACGAAAGATAGGTCTAAGTGTTGGTCTAAAGGGAACCGGTGTAGGGGAGAAATGAACATTCTAGCTACCAGGTATTTCTATGGGAAGTCTCAAGTTAAAGTCGTAGGTAGTCTCCTAGGATTGACAAGTGGTCATCTAGTAAATTCATCAAACTAGGAGAGAGATGTCTTTAATAGGAAGGATAAGAACATAGGGGCAACAAAATGAATCAGGAACAAAGTAAGATGATGGGTCATGACTCACAGCCAAATGGATAGCCAAACGAGTCACCAGCAGGTATGGAACTTAAGAAATGGGGTATGGTATCCATAACAGAAGTGGCACAACAGTTTAGAGAGTAGTGACATGAAAGTAAAGCTAAAATTCCTCTAACATTAAATCAGTATGAAGGATATCGCCGTGAGATCAAGTCACACCCAAAAAAATCACACCCTTCAAGTGCAAACTCTAAAGGGGCAACTCCTAAAAATAGACTCCAATAGAATACGAAGGTATGCCCAATTCCCCAATAGGTTCAAAAACCACTCAGGGGTCAAAATCACTATTCAATATCAATTCGTACTAATATTCTCATATGATGGAGTAGGGTCATAAGCTAAGATCAAGAGGGTTCCGGTTCATTCCAATTAGGTGAAAGTTTCTCTATTGATTCACTTCTCCAACTTCGAAATTATTATCATCAAGGTTACCTAAAATCAATCTCATAGTTGTCACAAACCCCTAAATCAGGATCTTTACCAAAATTAATGTGTTCGAAGTCCGACTATCAATCAGGCATACTTGTCCAAAAGACTCATCCCGAGGAGGCCTTAGGATCCGGGGTGGGTATAGGTGTCGATGTTTTAAAAGGTTTGAACTTCTAGCTCAGGGTTTAAGTTATCTGGGAGTCTGATTCAATCACTAATGTTTCTCCTCAAAGAAGGTCCCCTCTTATCGATAGTATCCACAAAATGGATGTATTCAGTCTCAGGTTCAGTTGATTTTCTCTTTTTACTGCAATTTAAAATTAAAACTTGCAGGGTCAAGGAACTGGGGAGGCTAAAGGTGACTGGGATGGCTAGATGTTTAGTCCAAGTGCGGAGTCATAAGGCTCGATCCAACAGAGGCCCACATAAAGGGTCGGTCATCAATATTAAGTGGAGATCTACGGGGACAGTTAACTGATGTACTAGGTGAGCTCACCAGTAAGCCACGGTAGTCAATAACGAGTGTGGGCTTTAGATGCACTTAGAGGGTGGTATATAAGTTCGCATGTCTTCCCATAGCCCACGACCTTATGTCCATGCATTGAAACTGATTATGTAGACTAGCCCGAGCTCT